AAAAGCAAAGCAATGTATTTTTCAAACTGTGGAAGTCACGTAAATGCAGGTCTCTGTGATTTTTACTTTGAATTGGTGTTGTTTCTTGAATCTACCTGCTGGCAATTGCTAAAGTTTGATTATTCAATTTATTTTTGTTTTCTTTCTTTTTCTTCCTTTTTTTCCTAATGAGAATTGAAGGTTATTGTACTGAAGTAAGATTGCTGCACTATAAAACACAGCCAGTGTTGTCTTATACAGGAACTGGAAAGTCCCAAATCCAGTGCATACAAAAGGGAATTCAATTACATGTTTAATTGTATGCACAGACTCCAAAAATGACAGCAGGTTTCTTTAGGCAGCAAACAGTTGCAGAGGCTTGAACTTTAAGTTGCAATTAGCTGAACTTTCCGTCTGACTGAGAGGATTCTCCGAGGAAAACCCCTCTTTCCTCTGCTGGCTGCTGTTGCACATCACTGCCTGCAGATTCATTCATGCACCGGGCTTCTGCACTGTGCCTTGGGTGGGGTGGGCCCCAGTGAGGGATGAAAATCACCGCCAGCTGCTGCTGATACTACTGCTAATGCTGCCGTGGAGAGCCCTGTGATTTCACGGGAAGGAAGCTGATAAACATGCAGGGCTGAAACAATTTTCTCTGCCACCCCTATTAACAGCAGCCACAATGGTCACTGACAATTACAGTGTCTGATGGCTGTAAGCCTGGCTTTGAAGTGATTATTATCTCCCTTGAAGTGACAGACAACAGTGCTCCTGAATTTCTGGAAAATGGCAGAGGCTGCTCCAAAGTGGCTCTGCCTTCCAGCTGCCAATAGACCACAGAGAATGGCCCAAGCCACCAGATACACCACTAAAAGTAGGCTGTAGGAGTGGGTTTTACTCAGTACCAACCACAACATCTTTAGCAGAGAGGTACAGGTGACAATCCCAACCTTGGTCTTGCTTGTCTCACTTTGTTCACTTTCCACTAGAAGTCTGAAATTCTGTAGTCTAAAAATTCAATTCAGGACCGATACCCCAAATTTGATTAATACTTGCTCTTGGTTATCATTTGATGCTTATATATCATATTTTGAACAGCATGACTTATTCCAGTACACTATTGTATTCTTTTCAGAGAAGGCAAGACTACAGTAGTTGGTCCTGGTCATTTCACCATTATCCTCTCTGTGAGCTAGCCATATACATTCAGACTTAGTCCTGGAAAAACTATTTCAGAGAACAGTTCTTTTGCATGGGATTCTCTTTCAAAGAAACATCAGTGTTTTTTGTAAATAATGTAATATATGTTATGTGAGATTTAAAATTGCCTTACTTCATCCTAACACATGCTCGTTAGTCTCAGAACAGAAATACAGAGCAAGAAGATGAGAAAGCCAGTGTGGAAGCCTTGTTACATCGTCTCTGGAATTTCCCCAAAGTTCTTGGGCACCGTTTTCCTCTCTTCATCATTTTTTCCCCTGCTTCTCTATGATATATTTCACTACCAGTCAACTGCACTCAGAACTAAAATTACCCTTTTATCAAAGCAAAAACACAGTTACCACAGGACTTCTACTCCATCTTCTTACCCAGGATCACGATCACCAACATCCAAGCTGTCCTTTTAAGGCATTTATCCAATCTCTTTATCTAATCACTTCTTAAAAACAATCTCTTAGCAACCTATTTTCAAACTTAATTATTGCTGCTGTCTAGCCGTTCCCTGTGAATACCTCCTTTTTCTTTGGCAAGAGCACTGCCGTATTTGTTTGTCCTTTTTAATTAACACATATCTCACAGATTTCACCTCTATATTTTCCTCTGCCATGTGAAAAGTACAGATTTTACTTATTCTAACTTTTCACACATTCCTATTATATGTTAGCTTGATGGCTGCTGCAATCTTGATTTATTACTAATTTCTTATTTTTCCCTGTACCTTACAGTCAGTTTCTAAATTAGTGGAAATCTTTGCAGAGGTTTACATTAGCTTCCTGCCTGGATACTTTTCAGATTTCTTCTCTAAGTTAAAATTCTTCAAGACTTATGATGTCTATATAACCAATTTTAGTTGACTCACGAATCCACCGTGCTCCTTACCATGCAACCAAATATCATTTTGAGCTTTTCATTATTTTTCCTCACTGTATTTTTCTGCTTTTTTCCACATTCTTTCATTTGAAATGCTTTTGCTGCTGTCCATTAATAAAAACAATTTTTTTTTACTCTTGTATGAGATTCTTTTCTACAATATCAAGTATTTTAGCAGCAATGAACTCATGCTTTACTCTACTCTTTATACTTGTCTATCAGCATCTGAGGACATCTCATCCTGCTAGCACATTCTTGCTGCAGTAGAACCTCATGCACGTTTAGGTACTAGATAAATTACTGCAGTATTTGTACAGCCTTCAAGTCCCGGCCTATGAAAGGCATGGGAACAGTTCTGGAAAGAAAGACACACCAGATATGGGAGAACATTTCATTTCATCTTGGTTTGAGCTACCAGTGGTTTTAAAAGCATTTAGTTAAAGAAGTTCTCCTCACTTGTATGATGCTATCTTCTCTCATTAAGCCTTTCTCTTCCTGTTTTCAAGGTAATGGCTCTGCATTGTGGTGAACACTGGGAACTAAAGAAGCAACAAATATTTCTCCAAAGATAGCAAGACAATCTTCTGCCATGGACTGTTGGCTCTTTGTGTGAGAGCAGTTCAAGGGCAGATATATAACCTTTCCATTAAACAATTATGGAAGTCAAAGTGAACTTCATTTAAGTTTCTTGGCAGCTTTGGGAGAATAGCCAACACATACACAAGTGAATAAAAAGCACAAAGAAGTGCAAATAACTTATTTAATCTATCTCATTTGCAGATTAACATGACACATGTAAGCTAAAAGGCTTCCTCTGTGATTGACTGATAACTTGAGGAGTCCTTTCTCAGAGCCCTGTCCTGCAACTCTGACACCTCTTGGATGCCAACAGAGAACCCCTCCCTCCACTGGTAGACTCATTTTCTGCCTTTGCACTTCATCTTTGCTCCTACTTTTGTTTCAGTTTCTTCCAGTTTAGGGATCTACAATTCTACAATTCACTTCTTGCTAATCAAGGAAAACCATGAGAGAAATGCTTTAACAAATACATCATGCCCACAGGGGAAAATCTCCCCTCAGAGCTGTCATTAACCAGTCTGCAGCTAAACTCTCCTTGCCTGTGAAATGTGGCTCAAACTCATCGGACAACAGAAATCATATCAATACCACAAGTACCCCTCCCTCACATAGCAGTGACACAAGAATGGTCACAACAGCACTGAACTCAGGATGAATCAGGTTTTCTATATCTCATCTTTCCTTTAGCAGTCACACTAACTGTAAGCCCAGGATGTTTCCATTTTTGCCACATTCAGTACTAACAGTGTAATCAACAGCTATGACCAGTATCCTGTGATGCACAGCGAAGTCATTGGTTTAAAAAAAGAAAATAAAACTACCATTAACTGCCATTTTGAAGTCATTACTGACTACAAAGTCATGCTGGAATGCACTGCATACCAGCGAAAATATATTGTAGCTATAATCTAATACCTTGCTAAGCCATTAAAGAAACTTCCCCGTGGGGCATACACGAAGTCTGACATACTTCAGCTACGCTGAAGAGTAGATGGTGAGCTTTTCTTCCATGCCTCACTGCAAAATTGTACAACTCCCTGAGCCAGTACAGACCCCACTTCTTTAGGACGCTCTTGGCAGCTCATAAAAGGAGAAATCAGTTGAGCAGGTGGTAACCAAAACACTGTAATTCTCCTACAGCACACAGACTTGGAGTAAGCCAAAGTCTGTCTTGGATATTCCTCTCACGCAGTACTCCCGCCCTTTCTCTATAGACTGCATCTATATTCCTGATTTTAGCAAGCACACTTTGGAACGATGGGCAGACAATTCATAGGAAGGAGAGCAGGGAAGGTTCTCCAGCTATCCCAGATGTGCTGAGAACTGTTCACTCTGACACACCCATTCACAGCCCGGCAGCACTGCCACCATTACAGAAGTATTCACTGCTGCTCAAACAAATGATATATATATGTACCATATGCACAAACACAGCCCTTGGGTGACAATGGCAATGAAAAATGTACTTTGTTAGATTTCTGGAACTGATGACTGGAAAAAAATAACGTAGAAGGATAATTGTTGCCCTGACCACAAAGTGCCTCAAGGCAGTTGCTGTCACAGTGAGAGTCTGCTAAAAGCATGGCCATTTCCCTCGGACACTGCTGAGCCTGCACCACACCAAATTTCTAGAGCATTTTGCTGTTTTGGACCACAACTATTATTTTTTTCTCTATATGAACATTTCATTTATGAATACAAATATGTGAAGCAGATAACCAAGCCACAGAAAGCTGACTGATACACAATTAATTTTGTAGGCACTTCTGACGCCCTTTGTTCCAAACTCTCATCAGTCAGCCCCAAAGAAACCTTAAGAAGTCAGAAACAGGCATGCTCGGCAGAAAAGCTCTGTAAATTTCAATCGCACAGATCACTGCAGTTGTGTTTCTGTTCAACAGGCTGTGTCCAAACTCAGACTGCATTAGCTGTTAGTTCAGACCCGTGAGCTCAGGAATACAGTTGCTGTATGCTGGGGGGGGTTCCCTCGCTCCAGCTTCCAAGAGTGCTGGGAGAGCAAACCAAGTGTGTAATGTTGTTGAACGCAGATTTACCAGAACTATTCCAGATTCCCAAGCATACTTCTGCTCTTAATTTAAACTTTAATGCTCTATGACTCCCTTTTTATGGATCCAGAATTGTCAAGTACAAGCAGTACACAGCTTTCCCTGGTTGCACAGAACAGCACAGCCCAGGCTACAATTCCAAAGCATCTTCAATAAGTCCTGCAAGTAACAGTTTATACAAAGACAGATGCAAGAAAGCTGTTAGCTATACAGCAGCAGAACCGCTGCTGTCTGAAGCACGAACTTATCAGCAATCATAAAAAGCTTCATTCATAAAAAACTTACGTGTCTCTGTTAGACAAAGCTTCAGCAAACATAATCCAAAAGTTGCCCATAAGTAGAAGTTGGCCATTGTTTCCTCAGAACTGCTTTGCAAAAAAAACAGAGATCCTCGCAAGCTGTAGAAGGAAGAAAAGCCCCGGCGCCTGTTAAGCCTGCAGTCAATGAGTCTGAAGTTTGCTGCACTTTTTATTCTGATTCAAAGGAACTGAAGTAATGACATAACTGGGAGGGGGAGCTCCATCAAAAGTCACACCCATATTGCAACAAAAGTTACAGAGCAGGGCAGGGGGGGCCGCGGGGGGCCGTGAGTTCTGACTAAGCAGCTACACGAGTTTTAAAGAGGCGCTAAGCCTTCTCTTCTTACACAAGTACAGGCAAAAGTTGTAGCTGTTGTGCTTGCAGAAAAATGTGTGTAATCTCTCATGAGGTAGCTCAGGAAGGCACCGATTGTTGTAAGCTCCCCCTCCTGCCTTTTACAATCTTATTAATGTAAACTAAGTAAACATAAAGCAATACAGCTTTGAGAACCCAGCTAAACACCTACAGCTGCCTGGATGTTTCTCCAAAATATTTTGCTAATTTTGTCCCATCTCATCATACTCTCACTCTGCAGTAAAATTTAGGGCAAGCAAAAATACCTGCTTTGCCACGGGCTCTCCTGAGATGCTCCTGCTCACAGCCGGAGGATATCCCCACACAGCAAGTAAGTCGAGGCTCCGTCGCCTGCAGCCCGTTCCACCCCGTGCTCCAACAGCAGGTGGGTAACTACTCAGTGCCAGGACTGAGGACCAAGGTCAGTGCTTTATTGTATTGATGGTACAGCATAGGGAAGGAGTCGTTCCTCCTATTTCCAATTCACAAAGCAGAGGAACAGGATGAGAGCACGTAGCAGTCTTTGGCACGCAGTGGAAGTCCTGCTTCCCAAGGGAGACACAGAGTGTGTGGGGTTCTTTGGGACACCACAGTTAGCAAGACACCACACAAAATCCTTGGTGAAAACCTCAAAGCTCCTGCAGATAAGAGAGAGGCATGTCTATTGCACACCCTGGTGATCTCACAGTGTCTCTCCTCAGCAGTCATGAGGTGCTTTATGTGGTGGCACAGGGGCTTCGAGGGCTCACCCAGCCTGGCACGTCCCACCTATAGCAGCCAACAGGGCGGGCAGATGGTATTCCCCCAGTTTCAGTTTCACTCAGCAAATTCAAAGTGAAAAGTTCTGTATCAGATCACCACGGTGTTGATACAGAAGAATTTTCTCACTAGTTTTTAATCTCAGCTAACACGAACAGTGGAAAAATACTGACAGGTCTTTCCAGACACGGGCACAAGAACGTTATACTTTGCCTTTCCTTTGACTTTTGACTTCAAGATGGCTGGCATCCCTTCCTCCGTCAGCTGGCTCCTGAGCAGCAGGTTCCAACAGGCTTTCCTACAGGTCTGGGATATCTGATGGGACAAGGTTAAAGTGAAAAGTTTTCCTCAAACCCAGAGGATCTTTTTATTAAGAAACTAGCAACTTTGAAGTTACAGATTAAACATATTTTGTTTTGTGAATATGTTGCTTTTCCTTTTGAAACAAATGTTTTTAAGAGCAGAGCAAAGATTACCTCCTATGTAACTTACTGTTTATAGGAGTGAAAATAGTTCTGTGAATCCCTGTACATTTATACCTATGTGCAGACATCTAACTTTATGAATGAATGAATGAAGCTTACTGGGATTTAAAATGCTGTATACAGTTAAGGCCTGTTATATTTTACTAAGGATCTACTAAGGAAATATCTTCAATTGATAAATGTCTTTTGAAATTCACGCCACATGTGAAACAAAGGAATTGAATATTTAAATAAAATTTGGATATTTTTGACTGCTGTTTGTTTGTTTGCTTTGGTTTCTTTTTGGATAAACATAAAATACTACTCTGTGAATGTCCTGTGTTCCAATTTAAATGGAACAATAACAACAAAACAAAACATGTTTTCTTTACCATGGGTAAGTGGAGAATAATGTTCATTTCAGGGATATGGGTAAGTGTTACAGAAACAACACTCTTATTTTACTGGCAGTGGAAATTCCTACTCTCTCCATGGACTGAAGTTTCTCATTCTGTCTCTTTTGACATCAGATTTTTTCTCAATTATTTGATACTTATTTTAGACATCTCAATACTTCTGCATGTGTTTGCTGGGGGCTAGTGATATTCCAAAAAAATCCGTCTCTTGTTTCCTGAAATTGGGCTAAGATTATACATATTTAGATCAGGTGCTTAGATGTTCTAGTAACTAATACAGGTGGAAAAGTCAGATGTGTACAAGAAGAATAATTCATCACAGTACGTCATTTCATGCGATAAACCACAGAAAGAATAATGAGTATATCCCAAGTCAGTCTGACCATTTCACATGCCATCTGCTTGCATACACACCAGTCTAGGACACAGACCTGCATTCCAGATCCCTGAGCACTTCAAAGTGCTGCCACTAACAAATAAATAAAAAGCCTGACATGAAAATATTTCCTTAGTTCCCACCCAAACATGGAATTTCTCCCTTAAAACATGTTGGCCTGAGGTAGGCAATAATCCATATTTGGCCTGGGTGCAGGGCCTGATGCTATCCAGAAAATTGAGTCAAAGACGATGTTCATCTCTGGAAAATGTATAGGACATACAATTTTTCATAGAGAAATAAATAAGTTCTGGTTTAGCTTGAGATAATCCTAGGAAACATGAAAATCTTGAAGCAGCTCTTCAGCTCAGGAAATGTAGCAGAGCATTGCTTCAAGTCGAGGCCATCAGTTCATTTCAATTGAGAATTTGTTCCCCTGACAGTATTGTTAACAACACCCATTACCTTTGGCCACAAAGACTTAAATTATTTGACACCAAAAAAATTATAAAATATTAAGTAGCACCAAATGAACTGGATTTTCAAAAGAGAATCCATCAACAAATCCAACAACTACAATTACAAAACCACAATGTTTAAAAAATTGTCTTGTTCAGAAGTCTTTGACACAGCAGATACCGTGGTCATGACGGTGCTAACTATAGTACAGGAGCACCAAAACAGCTCGTTCATGATTTTATCACACATGTGAATTGTAGCCAGCATCAATTAATTTTGAAAAAAATCCTTCTAGGGAGTACACGATTTGGAGCCCTAGAAAAGGAACGTGTGGCTTACAGCAATATAAAAAGATGGTTTTTTGCTGGAATTCCCTTAGAGAATGAAATTCTGGTCCAGCTGAAGTCAAACATCAAAATTCCATTGGATTCAGGAGGGCAGCCTCTCCCTGTAATGTATATTTATTTGGGTTTTATCACATCTACTGATTGTCAAATGAAAATACCTGAACTTATGAAGTAAATGAGATCATTGGAGAACAATTTCTTTACTAAAATTGGAACAACTGAAACAGGGGGAAGGAAGAAATTTTGTTTCTGTCAAAATCGCTTGCCTTTTTTTTTTTTTTTTCAAAAATGTGAAAAAAGGATGTTCTTAATTTGAAAACTTTTTTTTTCTATTTTCACTGAAGGAATATTTTTAATAAAGAATTCTTTTTTGAATCTATTTTTATGAAAATTTCAAATCATGAGGAAAATTCAATTATCATGCAGGCCTGAAGAGCATAATCTTGGTAAGAATGAAAAGTACAAAAAATCTCATTAGGTAATTCTGTTCATGGCAGCATACATTCAGCATAGACTACAGTTGGTGTTTGAGCCTGGCTGTTAAGACAGTTTGGGGCTGGAAGGAGGACTTTATACCCACGTAACTAGGATCTCAATAAGATATGGCATTTTTAATAAGATTTCCTCCTGTGACCCCAGACTGCAATCTTGTTTGCCACATTTCAGACTGGATTTAATTTTCACGATCAACCCTGAAACCAGGTTTTGTAATGGAAATAGTTGTAAATGCTTCAGTGTAGTAAATCCTGTACTGCACACTTCCTGGGCTCTGAGTGCTGTTGGGAAGGCAGAAGAGGAGGCTGTGCTAGCCTGAGCCAGAAAAGCTACTCTTTTGGCTGGAGGGCAAAGCACTCCCTTGGGAAGTTGGGCACCCGGTTCTACTCCCATCAGCCTTTTGTTCCCAGATGTAATTTACAGTTTGTGTCCTGCAGAGAGTCAGGAAGATGAACAATGGTTGCTAGTTGTTTACTTCTGGAAAAGGCAGCAACCCAGATTGGCACCTACCGCGCAGATTCATCATCCTGTTTTACTGGTTTGCCCCAGATCCCTAAACAATTTGCTAATCCAACGCAGTCAAAAATCTCTAAGTCAGAATCGCTCAAGTACGCTGCAAGAAATGCTTTGCAAGAAGGTTTCCTCTTCAGCAGACTGTGTAGCCCTGTCAGCTTCCTCGCTCCTTCTGCCTCCAACAGATCAGCCCCTGGCTGAACCCCCTGGCGCACAACGGGGCACCAGCAGGACATCCTGGCACAACTACCCATCCACGTCTTTCACACCATTATATCCCATTAGTTACTAGGTCACTGCTGGAGATGGGGTAGGATCCTGGACAGAGCACATCAGCTGCCACCAAAAAGCCGGCACACAGAAAAGATGTACTGCTTGTATTGGTGACTCACAGCCAGAAGCAGCTGTGTGAGGGCTGGGGGAGCACAGGGGGAACTGAGAGATGGGGGGGACATATTTTCTGCAGGTGGTTTTGGTTTTCCTCTTCTCCTCTTGCTTCCTGCTTGGCCCTCCCAGCACCCACTGCACAACACGAACATAGAAATTTTCACACTAGGGCATGAGCTGCCATCTTGGCACTAATTTTTGTCTTCCTGCTTTCGTTTCTTGCATTTGCCCTTTACCAATGAGTAAATCATGCTTATACCAGGCCATCTCCAGGATGTGCGGTTTCTTGTCTTCCCCATTCTCCTCCTGGTTTTGACTTCTACCTCCACTTCTCTCGTCTGCACTTTTTTTCACCTCTCATCCTTTCTCATCTGCTCTCCCTTCTATGCAATGTGTTGGAATAACAAAGTCGAAGACTTAATGCTCCAGAAGAGCAGGTGAGCTGTACAAAATGCAAAGATTCGTATTACTCAGGAAACACTTAGGATTTGCATAAACAAACTGCTAACCTCACTGACAGATAAATCTGAGGGGCCTGCTGCACCTAATATGGGCCTGGCCAGAATCTTTCAAAGTCAAGGCAAGCTCTGTGCTGATTTTGAGGAATTTCCATCACTCAAGCCAGCTGTGAACAATGTTTGGTTTAGTCTCAGTATCTGTATTATGATAACATTTTTTTCATGTATGTATATAATCTGAGAAGATAGAGAAGTTCCATCAGACTTACAGTCAAATATTTTCCTATTTAAAAAAGTAGAAACTAAGTCCTAGCTGGATTCATTCATGGAACAATTCCTATTCGTACAGTGTATGTTTGTGCCCATCTTGCCACAGCCACATATAACACAGCCACATTTAGGCTGTGCCCTAAACTTAGCAGCGTGGGAATGAGTAGTTAAACTTCTCTTTTCCAGTTAAAAAGAACACTAAAACCAGACCTGGCCTGAACGTAAACAGAAACTTACTGAATTTCAGCAGTCTCCCTGTTAGTCAGTTTATGACCGTTGTGAAAGGTGGAAGGGAAGGAAAAGTATCCTAATTTTAGACCATAATAGGCATGTTTGTTTTCAGAGACAAAGATAATAGCTGGTTCCAGTCTGGCTCTCGGAGGAAAGGTGCAGGTGTGTGCACGTCATGCAATGAGCAGGATGAGGAGGCCAGCAGGCGCAGCAGTGGGAGCATTTCACTACTCAACTTCCTGGGTAAAACACGCATCAAGCGGTCTGACCTTTCTCAAAGCCTCAGTTAGTGCATTGCTAGAGCATCTTATTCCCCACAGAGCATTTCTCTTGCCTCATTGGACCTGCAACTATCGTATTCTTCCCTCCCTTCCAAAATAAAATATAGTAAACTGTTAGTTCTGCAGATTAAACATAGCCAGCAGTAAAGGACTTTGTCCCTTCCTGGTGCAATAGCAGTGGCTTGTTTACTCAGACTTGATCCTTCACACTTGGGCAGAA